CATTACTGAACTGTGGCTATGACTTGATTTCTTGGAAAAGATTCAGTCAGCGTCCCTTTGTCTCCTGTTAGTCACTATTGAGCACGTTGCATCAGAGGTCCTGCTGCTGTTCACTTTTACTTTTATATTTTTTATATAACTAGTTGTGTTAGTTTATTTTTGCTAATGTTGTTGTTTGCTGCAACTTGAGTAGGAGTGTAACGCAATTTCAATTTCTATGTATGTCCTGTACATATGCAGAATTGACAATAAAATCAATCAATCAATCAATAAGACACTGGTCAAAGTCTCCATCAAAAACCTTGTAATGTTCACATTCTTCTAGATTGCATATAAAAAGTACCCACATTTATCGCAAATTAAACTCCGAAACAATTATTCTAAAGATTTCATGAAAATGCATGTTTCTGTAAGGTAGCATTTCACAATAGTAGCCGCAATAATTTTTGCATACTTGATTGTCTAGTTGGTACTTCTTTCTCTTTGAGTCAGGGTGAAATTTGATTGTACTTTGCCCAAAAATCTAGATGACAGTCTATTATATATACTACATTGATGTTTTGACAACAATTTAAAAAAAGAAACAAACAAAAAACAAAATGTTTTTGTTAGAATAATACTTAATTAATGTTGTGATACAATTGTCGTTGGCCCAATAAATGTGAACATCTTCAAAAATGGTTTCAGCTGCTCCCTTCCTCAAGAAGATTTGACAATAGATTTTTTGGTAGGTGTAGGGGGGAGATTCTTTTTACGCCACATGCCCTCCATGATGCAACCACAGACCACCGAGCTACCACATCCCTGTGTGTGGAGCAGAGAACTGACATCTAGAGAGCTCGGGGGGGAGCAGATGGTGGAAGTAAGGGCCTTGCTCAAGAGCTCAGAGTGGGACAAATGAGGGTGGAAGTAGATGTGGACGCTTTACATTTTCTACCCACATTTTTGATGTTGTCGGGCCAGGGGGTCGAACTAGCGGCTTTCCAATCACAGGCCCACCTTCATTAAGATCTGTGCCACCACTCCCAAAATATTTTTATCTACACAATAGAGTTGCACTCAGGCCTAAAAAATTACGACCTTGCCCGAACCAATATAATTTTTTTCCGAGCCCAACTCGAAACCGACCAACTAACTGTGATTACAGGCCCAAACCCAAAAAATACATACAATTTATTTATTTATTTATTTATTTTTAATTAAGCTTTTACTGCTTTAGTAAGCAAATCAGTTTGACGTGATTTTAAAACATATTTCAAAGAAAGGAAGATAAGATTTCTCGTTTATTAACAAGAGTCAGCGGATTATTATGGTTATTTTAATTATTATCATTATTATCAGTTGGCCGACGTGTGCGACTGATGATCCAAATGATCCAAATCGGGTCGTCGGCCGTGTGCGTCCGCTGACGCAGCAGCTGAATCCAGTTAAGCTTCAGGTGGGTCGCTGGCAGTGGTCCATCTGGACTTTCTGCTTTACCTCTTTAAACCAGCCGGTCAGCGTGCGGTCAAACGGCTGGTGGTGATTCAAATTGGATCGTTAACCACGCACGTCCGCTAATGCAATCAAAATCCCAACACCGACTCGGCTCACCCATCCAGCACATTATTTTGGCTCGGGCCGGGATGGAAATGACAGATCTACTACACAAAAAGTCAGCATGACACAAATGATGTAGTAACTATAACAGGCCTGTAGGTGGAAACGTAACGCTGTCATGAAAATGAAAAGGGAAGGAAGACATGACATAGACATGCCAAATTTTAAATGTACAAAGAAAAATATCTTGATACAATAGCAAGAACTGAACTGCTTCTGTGGATTGTCAGTGAAATATTGTTTATTGATTTATTGGGGGTGGCGGGAGGTTGTCACATTGACTGGGAGTCAAATTGGTTAAAAAGGAAATAGCTTATAGAGAATTTCATTCACATTATACTTTTTTTTCGATGTTTTAAGGGTTCAGGGTAAATTTGATCAAATTTTATTCAATAAAGTAAAAACAAAAAAAAAACTTTGGGGTTTTAGAATAGTTGGAACAAATATATACTGTATATTTGTATAGAGAAAGTGGTTATGCTCTGTTCAAGATAATGGTATTGTTTGTCAGCTTTTTCTGCTCATTGAAGTGATACAGTTCATGGAGTTTTTGCTTTAGTTGAGTAACTGTTCTGCAATACAAGGTAATACATGTAATCTGTCTACTGAGGTTGTCGTTTGGGCAGAATGTGGTACCACTACATCATTTTCAAAAGGTTGCATTTAGTCTGTCTACATGAGAACATAGCTACTGAATATATCTTTTGAAATCCCAGTTTTAAAAAAATAAACCCTTTAGGGATATTTTAAATGCTGTTTCCACGTGGAAGCAGGACTGAAATGATAAAACAATTGTGCAAAACTCCATTCTCGTGTTGACAGGGCTTTGGAAATGAAGGTTTTGTTTACCCCCTAAAGGCTTAAACTCTACTTTTGTTTATCAAATGTAACTTTTCATTTGCCTTCTAATTGACTATTTGCAGTTCCTTGTTATATAAAATTGTATTCTTTCAAATACTGAATAAATGGTTTAAAACCTCAGGCTTGCACAAACGTTTGCAAAGATGTTAAATATATATGAAATAGTGCATTATTATAGCAATTCTCATCAATAAATAACACTGAATACGTTTTTTTTGTTTTGTTTTAGTGCTTAAAGCATTGTAATTATAAGAACCAAATTGTGTAATCATTTAAGTTACCAAACTTCTGTAACTGTAAATTTAAACTTACTAAATATGACAAATGTCCTACATATTGTTTTGTTAGTGGGTAAAATCGTAGATGAATTACAGGATATTTATTAAGTCAATGATTTTTTTGTTGGACAAATACAAAATATGAAAGGCTGTGATTCTCACTGTCCCAATTTATTAGGTTTAATGGGCTTTAATTGGATGGTCTCACAGAATATTTCAGAGTATTTTATCTTCTTGGATTGCCTCACGTTAGCTGTGCCACACTGAGCCAAGCTGTGATGACATGTGTTTCACTACAGCCTCACAGCAGGAAATAGCTATGCCTCACTGCTGTCACATTCCTGACTTACATATAATTCTGTTTTAGTCAGAGTACTGATGCTAATGCATGCTAATGTTTGTCAGATGTCTGGATTCATTAATCATCAGTCAGTTTTAAAAGTTGAACACTTTTGGTTCCATTTTTTTTAATTAAAAACATTTTTAAACCCCGTGTTTAAATAAATAAATAATAGTGTTATTTTTAAGCTGAAATAAAAAAAAATAAAAAAAACATAAACAGAGTTTATGCCGTTTGGTGCATGCAGTAGTAAATGTTTTATGTAAAAGACAAAATTGCTTCAACCGTCCTTAATCTGCCCTCCTTCTTTACTACAAAACTTAACAGCTAATAAAGATTGTTTTCATCTGTTTAAAGTCTTCTTTTGTTGTTATACTAGCGTTTTTATTCAATAAATCACGCTCTGTTATATTCTATTTACGTCATAATCCATAGGAGGAACCCCGAGCAGATGGAGCAGTCAGTTTGACAAATAGAAATGTTTTATTTTCCAGGAAAGAGGCAAACTAAGGAGAATCTGCCGAGGCAGGATCTCCGCAAAACATAAAGCACAGGCACAGTGTGATGATGCATGGAAACAAAATTTGACATGAGAAGAAAAAAATAGAAAAAAAAAAACCACAAAGCTACCTATGATGACAAAAAGAAAGATTTGGGGAAAAAAAAAAAAACTTTGGAATGATGGGATGATGTAAACACTGAAGGCGTAAACAAAAATCAAAGAGCAGGTGTGATGATTAACATTTTGAGACCAGGTGTGAAGGCAGAACAAAACCACAAAACCCAGATGTCAAAACAAAAGTCAAACAAGTTAAAAGAAAGAACAAACTAAGGAAATGTAAATCATTGTACATACGGGAACAATGAAATATACATCCAAACAGAACCACATAAATCTAAATGTTACGTTTGTTCTGGAAAAAGTATGTACAAATACATTATGTGTGTTCTCTTGAAGAAGCTTAAGCCATAACAAATATATTTGACTTCTTTTATCATTTGCATGCATCCAAACTGCATTCTGCTGCTGTTTAACCTGAGTGCTGCACATTTTTCTTTTGATAGCAAGCATTACTCTGTATATATATGTTACTATATAATGATAATAATAATAATAATAATAATAATGATTTTTATTTTAAGGTACTTTTCATGGCACTCAAGTACACTGTACAATAAAATACAAAATAAAATGCAGTAAAAACAAAAGTATAAAACAGCCATGGAAATAACAACATAAACATCATACATAAAAATGACTTAAATATGGGTACAACAAAGTTCAGTTAGGTCATCTGGATGGTTTCATTTTTTTTAATTTTTTTTTGAGACATTTTGTTCTTCATCCAAAGGACTTCATCAGTCCGAGGAGCCACAACAAACTGAATTTGGATATGGCTGCCTCAGAAGAGTTGACGGGGGAAAGGGTGGACCCCAGAAACCATCTTATCACCAGCAAACTGGTTGGTCCACTATGTGGATTTGCTGCTTGTGGAACTCAGTTTGATGTGGCTCCTCAAACTGATGAAGTCCTTTGGATGAAGGATGAAACGTCTCAACAACGAAAAAAAGACACCGTCCAGATGACCTGATTGAACATTGTTGGATTTTATACCTGGATTATTGAGCATGCACACTGATGTTAAATGTAGGTAATGTGTCAAGGAGGTTAAAGTGAGTAAGTCAGTTTAAAGAGGATGGTTTTAATTTGGGATTTGAAAATGGTGATGTAATAATAGGACTATAAAGTATTTCAGTTTTTGGTAACGCATTTGACTGTTCTTAGACAAAATTAAAAAAATGCGTGTAAAAACAAAGAAGTTGAAAAAAACAACCTGTCTCACTTTGAGTAGATCCAGATTAGTTACGTAAATATGTCTTCTTTTTTTAAAATCTTGTCATTGTCTGTCGTTCCTTTCCAGGATGGCATGGGGAACCTTCGAGTCACCAAGGAAGGAGTCAGACTGGAAGGAGTGTCCGAGTTCTTATTACCTTTATATGTCAAAGAGATCCAGTCACGAAGGGTGAGCTACAGGTTCCTTTTTGTGTCTGTTGAAATGTGTGTTGTCTTTTATCGGTTATAATTTCAGATGCATGGCTTGTCCTTTGTTTTTGTGCCAGTGGCTTGGCCATTTGATGAGTTTGTGCACATACTCCTATGCAATACATTGCTATAACCAGAAACCTTATGTTTGTTTCCAGCAGTAATAATAATTTTGTCATTTATGTGACATGTTATATATAACAAATACATGTTGTATAGCACTTATCTGTATCTTTATCACACACCAAATTATAATCCTTCTCTTGAGCTGGGGCAGCATCCAAACTAATTCACTTTATATAGGACAGGTGCAGTGTTAAAACATGAGTTTAATGGCAAGATATAAACTATATTATGTCCTACAACCACAATGTTTCTTTTTATTTTTAACTAAATCATCTTATTAATGCATTTATGAAATACAGAAAAAAATCTTGGTCCGTTTTCTAAAGAATACTAACATGTTCTTTATCGTTCATTCTGCCTTTGAAGCAGTTCTTGTTTATCAGTTCAGTGTATGGTTCACTGATTAAGCTATAACACTGCACAGATATAATAGTTTGGACAAATATGGTTTTTTGTTTTGTTTTGTTTTTTCTGGTAAAATTGCTCAAAAGCAGTACTAGTAAAGTACTGTGATTATAGTAGTCTATGTTGTAGTGCTGTCGATAGGTGTGAGAACAACACATAATAAGAAAAGGCATGAAATAGAGGGTGTTATGGGAGTAGTGATAGTTACCTAAGTATGCCTCCATGTTTTGACAAACACTGTTATGAAAAGGGTTTCAGACAGCAAATTCTCTTTTCAGTTCTCTTAAAAGCTTATGTTTTTTATATTTTGTCTCATAGTTGGTGGAGAAAAGTGGTACAGTCTGGAATGATGAAAGGGTTCAAACTAAATTTGTACCAGTGTGGCTGTGAGTCTGTGGCGTTAGAACTTTAAAAGCCATTAATATTACTGATACATAAGAGATAGTGTAGAAGCAGCTCATCTTGATTTTTCAAGTGTAGGGCTAATTAGGTTTCTATTTTTTCAACTTTTTATATGTAACAATTCTCTTTTAGTTGTACGCCTTTAACTAAATATGTTATGGTTTCAAGTTCTGGAATCATTCTGATAAATCGGACTAAAATTGTCAGACAACCAGATCTTACAAAAGTGTTGTTATACAGTTCCAAACATGTCAAACTTTTTCCAAATAGAGTATTTTTAATGAGCACCGTTGTTTAAGTATACAAAGGCGTAATATGAACTTTGTTTATATATTTACTGATGAAAAAATTTAAGACTCACAAGATTTGTGAAGTGATGGCTTAAAATGAAACAATGCAATGCTTCCAGAATGATGTTTTATGTACATCGCCAAACCAGTTTGAGAGTTGAGTCTGCACTTAGCACATTTCAGAAATCAGGCATCACCCAAAGGAATATCTGGACATCCAGATCAACGATTAAAGATGGGCTCACTTTATTGTAGTTTATTGCTTCAGCGATGGCAATAAATAATACATAATCCTGAGGGGAAACTCTGTTGTTGATTACAGGGCTGGGAGATAATTTAATCTTCTTAAATTGGTGGGTCCTCCCTTATTTAAAAGCTGTGCATCTGCACGTCTTTTGTGTAAACAAGGTATAATAGATGCATACTCATCATGCTCATATTATGAGCTAATAGAATTAAACCTATGAACAGTGTCTTAATTTTGCTTGCTAGCCACCAACTGCAGAGACTTCCAATAAAGTGCAAGTGAAGGTTGGAGAAACCAAAATACCAACCAAGTTGCCAGAATGGCATTTTAGTTGGTGTACTTGATAACATACGTATAAGTTCATCCAAGTCAGGGGTGTCAAACTCATTTACAAAAGTGGCCCAAAATTAAAACCTTTTTCAAACTAAGGACCAATTTCAGAAACTACATTAACTCATATCAGATACCCAACATCTTTTCTTGGTGCAGGTTCCTCAAAAAGAGTTTGATTGGTCTCATTTGATGTTTTCTGTTGTGCTTTCAACATCATAATCAAAGATTACTGAAAAAAAGTCAAGAGATAAAAGAATTTTATGTTGCATATATCATCTTGGGGGCCAGATAAGATGTAAATGAGGGCCACATTTGACCCCCAGGTGTTGAGTTTGACACATATGATCTAAGTGATCCAAACAGGATATTTTTTTTCTAATTCAAAGGCAAGTGAATGCCAGAATATAGATGTGCAGTGAAAAAAGGGAGAATTAAGAAAAGCCTTTCCATCACATCTGTAAAATGCCTTAATCAAATAAAATTACATCCTCACACTGATGCACATTTTGCAATATCGAGGCCATCCCACAAGCATAACAATGTACATTAGGAGAAGTGAATGGAACAATGTGGCCCCCAGTGAGAATTATGTAGGGAACGCTGCTTCTAAATCCCATACTAACAACAACAGTGACAATCGGAATTTAGATTGGATAGGTAGACTGAAAGAGATTAAGAGTGACAAAGAAAAAATGTGAGTATAATGGAGTAGGGTAAGGGTAGGAAAAAGGGGGCAAAAGGAATCAACTAATTAAGAGTGGAACAAAACATGCATAGCCATCTTCTTAGTTCGGTTTTTCCCTCTTCAGCAGTGCCACAGCGAGTCATCCTCAATCTCACTTTGTCTTCTGCATCCTCTCTCCTCACTCCATCTATAGCATATCCATGTCCTCTCTAATTGCATCCACAAATCTCTTCTTTGGCCTTCCTCTTTTTGTTTATCATGTTGCATTTCTAACATCCTTCTACCAATATACCCACTTTCCCTGCTCTGAACATGTCCAAACCGTCTCAGTCGGGGTTCTCTAACTTTATCTCCCAGTTGTTCAACCTGTGCTCTCCCTCTGATGAACTCATTCCAAATCTTATCCATCCTAGTCACTACCAAGAGAAATCTCAATATCTTAATTTCTGCCACTTCTAGTTCTTTCTCCTGTCTGTTTGTCGATGCCACTGTCTCCAGACCATACAGAATAGCTGGTCTCTCCACTGTCTTGTAAACTTTCCTTTTGACATATGCTGACACCTTTTTGTCGCAAATCATTCCTGAAAGTTTTCTCCATGCACTCTATCCTACCTGGACTCTCCTTTTCACCTCTTTACCACACTCCCCATTTTTTTCTGGACAGTTGGCCCAAAGTACTTGAAGTCCTGCACCTTTGTGACCTCTGCTCGTTGTAGACTCACTGTTCCACTGTCTCACCATCATACATGGAATCTTTTGCTACAGCTGACTTTCATTCCTCTTCTTTCAAGTGCATATTTCCACCTCTCTAAGTTCTCTTCCACCTGTTCCCTGCTCTCATCACAGATCTCAATGTCATCTGCAAACATCATAGTCCACGAGAATTCCTGTCTGACCTCATCTGTTAGTCAGTCAATCACCAGAACAAACAAGGGGCTCAGAGCAGATCCTTGATGCAATCCCACCTCCACCTTGAAGCTATCTGTCACTCCTACAGCACATCTCACAACTGTCATGTTGTGCTCATACATGTCATGTACCAGTCTAACATACTTCTCTGTCACTCCAGATTTCCTCATGCATTACCACACCTCCTCCCTCAGAACCATCATATGCTTTTTATAAATCCACAAAGACACAATGGAGTTCTTTCTGTCCCTCTCTGTACTTCACCAGCATCCTCAAAGCAAAGATGACACCTGTGGCGCTCTCTCAGCATGAAACCATACTGCTGCTAACAAAATCACCTCTCAACTAAGTTAAGCTTCCACAACTCTCTCCCAGATCTTCATTGTGACTCATCAACTTAATTTTCATGTAGTTGCTACAGCTCTGTACATCCCCCTTGTTCTTTAAAATGGGATCCAGTTCACTTCTCTTCCATTCCTCAGGCTTTTTCTCACTTTCAAATATGTCATTGAATATCTGAGTCAAAAACATCATTGCCATCTCTCCTAGATATGTCCAAACCTGCACTGGTATGTCATTAGCTCCTACTCCCTTTGCCTTCATTTTTTTCAGCGCTTTCCAAACGTCACACTCACTAATCTTTCCTACTTTGTGGTCCACAATTTCTATGACATCTGCTCTTTTTTTTTTCTTATTTCCTTCATTCATTAGCTCCTCAAAGTACTCCTTCCATCTTCCTGCCATGCTCTTCTCACTTGCTAAAACATAACCATTCCTATTTTTCACAAGCCTAACTTACTACCCATCCTTTCCACCATGATCTCTCTGTCTTGCCAATCAGTAGAAGTCCTTCTTGCCCTCCTTTGTGCGAGGACTTGTACCAATTGGCGAAACAGAGGGATCGGGCTAGAAAGGATGTGCAGCCTGATTCTTCTGTCTCACCAAATGTCTCACAAGTCCTTATTGCACTAAAGAGGGCGAGAATGACCTGTACCGTTGACGAGTCAGAGAGATCATGCTGTAACAAGTCCTTCTCTCCCTCTTTAGTGTCCAACCTTCCATATAACTCATACACCTTCTACTTTGCCTTTGCTACTTCCCTCTTTGTGCTACATTGTATTTTCTTATTCTCCTGTCTCCTCTCTTCAGTACTCTCACTGTCATATTTCTTCTTGACTAACCTCTTTCTCCGAATAGCTTCTTGCACTTCATTATTCCACCACCAGGTTTCATTATCTTTTTTTTGCCCATATGACACACCAATTTTCTTTCCAACTGTCTCTCTAACAAACTGTTTCTGTAATAGACCAGTCATCTGGAAGCTCTTTCTTACCACCCAGAGCATTTTGCTGTTCCTCTCTGCACTCCTCACAACATTATTCCTTCCTCAGCTTCCACCATTTGTTATTCTTTGATTTTACTTGTTTTCTCTTCTTCACAACAACAGTCTTTCTAAACACAACTATACAGTATTGCCAGGCAACATTTTCCCCTGCCTCAACCTTACAGTCCCTAATCTCCACCTTGTTTCCTCTTTTACACAGAATGTAGTCTACCTGCATACTTCTGCTTCCACTCTGATA